CTTGCTAATTAGCTAATTACCTAAATAATTAGTGGCTGAAATAAAAAACCTTTTAATACACTTAGTTTTTTTTGTTATTTTCACTGGAATACTTGAATATGTTCAATCATAAAAAGTGTTATGTTTTGAAATTAGTGATATTTTGATTATGTTCAATCTTAAAATTTTAAATGTTTTGGATGACTGAATATTAAGTGTTGTTCAATGGACATTTTATTTTAACATTATTCAATTTTGTTTTTTGCAAGCATGATTATATGACATTACTTATTTTGGTTTTCTTAATGTTGAACCCCTAAATGCATGATTCAGTTGCTGCCCTGACCTTGATATTTAAATTGTACTTTCTGTTATGCCACAACACTTAAAAGATTTGTTCGTTGTTTACTCATTAAGTGGTTTTGTTTAATACATGAATATGTGTTGCACACCCACAACTTGTTGTTTAAATTGTACTTTCTTGGTGCTGTTTTGACGTTATGTGTTAAATGATTAAGTGCTAAATTATCATTTCTGATGGTTTTATTTCTTGGTGCTGTTTTGTTGTTATGATTAGAGTTAAAAAGACTATTCTGATAGAGGTTTTTGCTTTAGACAACTTGTATAATCTGATGAAGTTAATTTCTTACTAATTGATCTGTTTTTGATGCTTTGATGTTTTCATTCGAGTAAAAAATAATGAACTGATTAAGCTATTTGCTTTAGAATACTGATATTGTATGTTTATGTTATTTGTTGATTAATTTAGCCGTTTTGTTGTTTTGGATAGAGAACAAATCCTGTTGCTATGTTGTTGTATGACTGATTAATAGTTTGACTGAATATAGTTCAAGTAATTGCATAGAACAAACATTAACAAATAGGAAGCAGGAATATTTATTCATGGAATTTCTTGTAATTGCGATAAGAATACAGAATCATAATTGAAACTGTTTCTGAAATTACTAAGCACTCAAATTTTTTTTCAACTTTCAAAGTTTTTCAATCTTTATCTTCTTCTGCCCTTTTGGCTCCTCTGAACAACTTGATCCTTCTCCAAACACCTCAGTTTGTTCCCTCTTCTTAATCTATTCCTTGCAGCCATTTCCAGCAATAAGTGGACAGTCCATTTCACCATTTGCAACCCAGTCTGGGCTGTGAACTTCAGCCTTTACAACCCTGTTTGGGCTGTACAGTTTAGTATTAACAGCCCTTATTGGGTTGTAACCTTCATCATCTTCAGCTCTTATTGGGCTGTTCATTTCAGAATGTGCAACACATATTGGGCTCTTCTCCTTCAGTTCAGCCTGCACAACCCTTTTTGGGCTGTTCACTTTAGCTTCTACAGCCCTGATTGGGCTGAGCAGTTCACCATTTGATTC